CATTCATTCGTAGTAATCAGATAATATAAATCAGTAAATGTTAATAAAACGACCTAAGGCCCGTAAACTGGTAGAGAATGCTATTAAGAATGGAAGGGAATCTTCTGTGATAACTATATATAGACATTAATGGTATTGAACCTCCCGTTTATCCTGATAACATGAGAGAACAGTGGAGTATTTGTGATGGTAAGATGTTGTTGGAGCCAGAAGATGCCTCCTAAGCAGTCCTTTTTCCCAAGGCATTCCTATGTGATCTGAAACATTCATTCTTTTAGAAGACTAATTCTTTATACTATTAAAGAAATTGACTTACATAAACACGTTCGAATCCGTGACACTCCTGGAGGCACCATCGACACTTCAAGAAGGCATTCATTTCCAAAGAGGCTTGAACATAGAGTTTCGTACATTGTTTGCATCCAAACCAATGTCTACATGCCGACGCAACATACTCAGTGATGGAATTATTGCATAAATTACATATGCATTGATCTAATCTTCGCACTAAAACAATAAAAGAGGAAGGTTTGATACAGGAACTGAAATCCGAATACAACAATGCTTGAATTTCGAATGAAACATGTATGTTTCATGACAAACAATACAATAAATAATGAAAATACGATAATTTTTAACTCATGTAAATAATTAAGTTCTGACCAGAGTGTGTGCGATTGCAGAAAACTTATTTTGACACTTCTATATTACACACTCATTGTAATAGCAAAATGTACTTGAGAAGAGAATTAGTGATATTTTTCTATTTTCCTTACACAACAAGATTTCGAAGTTGTCATTTGCAGGTGGAACAGTAGCGATAGGGATTCCTCCAATTGGCTGATCTACTCTGACTGCCTGGATTTCAGCTCCAGTGGGTGGGATCCCTAGAAAGAAATCAGTTTGCGGATTAGAAAAACAGATGGCAAAACGTATCAGTGGACATGTGTTAGACTAAGATAAATGGATTAAACTCCCTTACAATATTTCCGTGAACATTTGGCATTTAAGAAAGATTAACATATTTAAACGAAAACTCAACGATGTCCCTTCAAGATATCCGGATATTACTGTGTTATAATGACTCAGCGATAATTTTCTTTAATTTATTGTTTACAATCGATATCGAAGGATGATTGAGAGATATCAATC